AGCATTTAAGATCCCAGTCACTACTCACCACAGTAGGAGGTGGAACAATGTTTTGTGTAGTATGTTATGCCAGTTGAGCTTGATGTCCTCTGCGACTGTGGTCCTGAGCCCACACGTTCAACTACTCACTCCCTCTGGGTAGCTGGAACAAAGCCTTTTTTAAAGAAAGGAACTGAGATCAGATATTTTTGAAAGTACAAACTATTTCTCACTCATTTTTTATTCTCTCTCTAACTGATAACTGGTTCTTAGACTTCAGTGTATCTAAAAATTGTCCCAGATTTACCCACCTCCAGAGATTGCCTTTCATTATTTCTAGAGTGGAACCAGCAGATTCTGATGCATTTTTTCCTCATCCCTTCATTGAGAAACTCTGTCCTTTATCATACCCTGGAGACTCAGACTTAGTAGTTGCTTAATAAATGTTTGTTCAGTTAAGAGAAGCTAAGAGAGGTGGCTCATCCAGCTCATCCTGATTACTTAAAACAGTCACTACAATCAGAATACAGGCTTTTGCCTGCAGGCCTAACACAACGCAATGCAACGCACTGCTGTTGAGTTGGGTCTGACTCATAGTGACCCCTCTTTGGGTTTCCAAGGTGATATCACTACAGAAGTAGATTGCCCAACCTTCCTTCTGAGGAGCACCTGGTGGGTTTGAACCACCAGCCTTCTAGTTAGCAGTCAAATGCCTTAGGCACTATGCAACCAGAGCTCCCGGTCTCTCATTGTAGTATTTTCCTTTTGGTTAAGATGATGGACTGGTTTGGAAAAACTTTCCAACCTCCTTTGGCCTCAACCCTTCCTTCCTGCACATACTTTGTCTCTTTTTGAATCTTTATCATCCTACATAATGTGTGCTATCTACTCATCTCTTTTTCTTGAGAAAGCAGGTCTCCATAGATCTCTGTTATGTTTGAGAACTGGGATTGATTGAATAGTCATTCCTCTCAGGTATTAGACAGAAACACCAGCTAACTGAAGAAGAAACTCAAAGACAAAACTGAACTCTTTCTCAAGCTTAGATGTATGAACTCTTGGATTTGAAATACAAGAGCTTTTTTCTTGCCTACATTCCTTGGGGTTTTCCCCAGTGCCTTGTTCTCCCTGTTCTGTATTCATTGTAATTAAGACTTGTCTCATACTAGGGAATTAGCTTCTATACAATTGAAAAAAAATATATTAAAACAAGAAAAACTTTTTAAAATACATATAATATTTTGTAATAAAATTGTCAGGGAGTTGAGTTGAGCTGAGAGAGCTAAGCTGAGCTCCCAAATGTCTAAAATAGCTGATTAGG